CCACCCACAGTTCCCCCCACCCCAGACCACATGAATGTCCCAATTTGACCACCCATGGTTCCTCCCCACCCCAGACCACGTGAAGGTCCCTCTTTGACCACCCATGGTCATCTCCCCAGGGATATTTTACGGCTTCAAGGGCTTGCTGCTGCTGTTGGGCATCTTCCTGGCGTATGAGACCAAGAGCGTGTCCACGGAGAAGATCAACGACCACCGAGCGGTGGGCATGGCCATCTACAACGTGGCGGTAAGTCATGGTGGCTCTTCCCCGCTGCCATCTTCACCCCAAATCCCATATGGTGACCCCCCCAAAAACCATCCCCTTCTTCCCCACAGCTCCTCTGCCTCATCACGGCGCCCGTCACCATGATCCTCAGCAGCCAACAGGACGCGGCCTTCGCCTTCGCCTCGTTGGCCGTCGTCTTCTCCTCCTACATCACCTTGGTCGTCCTCTTCGTCCCTAAGGTGCCTGTGGGGATGGGGGGTGGTGGGTTCTGGGTGTTTCTTCTGGGGTGGGGAGGAACAGTTGTCCTACGTCCTCCCTTGTAGGGTGGAGGTGTTGTGCCTGGAGGTAAGAAACCTCCAAGACGTGGAGGTTTCTTCTCTGGTAGGGTCATGGAGTTGGTGATGACAGTCGGCAGGGGACAGTCGGGTGTGGATGTTGCTTTCTAGTGGGGGGGGAGGACACAGCTTTGACAACCGGGGACCGTTAACAGATGCGACGCCTCATCACCCGGGGCGAGTGGCAGTCGGAACAGCAGGACACCATGAAGACGGGCTCGTCCACCAACAACAACGAGGAGGAGAAATCCCGACTGTTGGAGAAGGAGAACCGGGAGCTGGAGAAAATCATCGCCGAGGTGGGTAGAGGTGGGGGACACCCCAAAAAACGTGGTTTGGGGTTTGGGGGACTGCCACCCCCCCAAGAGGTGGGTTGTAGCTTCGGGGTTGTACCTTCAAGGTGTTGCTAATTGTGCCAAGAGGGGTAGATCACCGCTGAGGTGCCAACACCTCAACGGGGGGAGGAGGGGCGATGTGGGAGGGGGCTGCCAACACCGATAAGGGATTTTGGAGGTGGTATCTGACACCCACTCCCCCCCCAAAAATTTGTCACCCGGCAGAAGGAGGAACGCGTATCGGAGCTCCGCCAACAGCTTCAGGACCGCCAGCAGCTGCGGTCTCGCCGACGGTCGTCCAACCCTTCCCGCGAGGCTGACAACCATTTTTCTCCGGGGTTGAGCGCTGCCCCCACCCCTCCGGCCCCCTTCTACCAACCCAACCTCCCCCTGGTCCGCTGTCTGGTCTCGGAACAAGCCGACAAACTCGGCCGGGGCAACTGCGACGGTAGCCGCGTCCATCTCCTCTATAAGTGACCACATCCACCCTCGTGGAGGGCAAGGCGATTTGCCGAGGGGGTGGAGCTAAGTGGGGTGGGGTCGGTGGGTGGGGCTAGGCAGGGAGGGTGGAGCCTCTTTGCCTTATTATTATTATTATTTATTTTTTTTTTTAAAAGAAACAACGCGTCTCTCTGTCTTAACCTGGGGGAACGCACCCACCCACCCCCGGCCCCAGGGCTCCGGGTGTCACCCGCCCTCTGACTGTTGTCAGGCGGAAAACTATGGGGCGGGGTGGGGGGAGAAGGGTGGGTGTTAATTAAGGGAGGGGGGGTGAGCAGAGAGAGCGAGGGCTGAGTTAACAACATGGAAACACACACCCCCCCAAACTCCCCTACAGCCGTCCCAGCTTCCCTACAGTCAACCCAGCTCCCCTACAGCCGCCCCAGCTCCCCTACAGCCATCCCAACACCCCTACAGTGAATCCATCTCCCCTACAGTCGTCCCATCTCCCCTACAGCTGTCCCATCCCTCCTACAGTCAATCCATCTCCCCTACAGCCATCTCCTACAGTCGTCCCACCACCCCTATAGTGAACCCGTCTCCCCTACAGTTGTCCCATTTCCTCTACAGTTGTCCCACCACCCCTACAGTGAATCCATCTCCCCTACAGTTGTCCCCTACAGTCATCCCATCTCCCATACAGCTGTCCTGTCTCCCCTAAAGCCATCTCCTACAGCCGTCCCATCTCCTCTACAGTCATCCCACCACCCCTATAGGGAACCTGTCTCCCCTACAGTCAACCCATCTCCCCTACAGGTGTCCCACCACCCCTACAGCCATCTCTTCTCCCGTACAGCCATCCCATCTCTCCTACAGCTGTCCTGTCTCCCCTACAGCCATCTGCTACAGTCATCCCACCTCTACAGTTGTCCCACCACCTCTACAGTGAAGTCATCTCATCTAGCCATCTCCTCTAGCCATCTCCTACAGTTATTCCATCTCCCCTACAGCCGTCCCGTCTCCTCTACGGTCAACCCATCACCCCTACAGGTGTCCCACCACCCCTACAGTCATCTCACCTCCCCTACAGCTGTCTCCTACAGTCGCCCCTTCTCCTCTACAGTCATCCCACCTCCCCTACAGCCCATCTCCCTCTCCGCTCCAACCGTAGCACACAGGCGGACAGTCCCACTGACACGTCCTCCTCGAACCTGTCCCTGCTACACCCCCCCCAAATGTCCCTGCGCTGTTGCGCACAACCAGCTCCCAGTGTAGCAACCAACCACCCTGGTAACCCCCTGTAACAGTGTTATTGTAGCCCGGTGTTGGTACAGGCGACGTGGGGACGCAGGATGAGGCCCGGGGATGCAGCCAGTTGTATCGCAAGCAGCGATTCCTGTAGTTTAACGTCAGGCTGTAGTTAAGTCTAGTCAGGCTGTAGTGCACAACTTGTACGTACAATCAAATCGTATTGCACATTGGGATCGGTTACTGTAACGCACGGTCCGGCTGTAGCCGACGGCTGGTTTGGGATCAGTTGTTGATACAACCGGAATCGGGTTTGTTTTTTTTTTTTTTAATGCTGTATCATCCGACTGTAGCTCACAACCGGCTGCGGTGAGGTGTGAGCGCAGGCGGAGGAGAGTCTGTGGCTGGGGCTGTGAGGGCGAGGTCGGGTCCTGTACGCGCAGACTGTTGTATCCGGGGTCTGGTTTCTCATATGTACAGTCGCACTTTAGTGGACAACCGGACCCTGCTTCTTCTCACGTCTCTGTTGTGGTGTTTAACCGCGTGAAAAGGGAACTACACCGTGTCGCATCCGCTGAGGTCGGGTCCCCGGATCCGACTGATCCTGTGTCCGGATTGATCCTGGATCCAGGCTGTTCCTGGATCTAACTGTTCCTAGCTCCGGGCTGTACCTGGATCCGGCTGTTCGTGGATCCGATTGGTCCCGGATCCGGCTGATCCTAGATGCGGGCTGTACCTGGATCCAGCTGATCCTGGATTGGGCCTGATCCTGGATCCAGGTTGGTCAGTCCTGGATCCAGCTAATTCTTAATCCCGGATCCATCTGGTCCTGGATCCAATTGGTCCCAGATCCGAGCTGTACTTGGATCTGATTGGTGCAGGATTGGGCCTGATCCTGGATGCAGGCTGTTTGGTCGTGGATCTGGCTGATCCTAGATCCGGGCTGGTCCTGGATCCAAACTAGTCCTAGATCCCAGCTGATCCTGAATTCCATACCCAGGCCGGTCCTGGAGCAAATTGGTCCCGGATCCAATTGGTCCTGGATCCCAGATTGGGCCTGATCCTGGATCCCAAGCTGGTACTGGATCCAGCTGATCCTAGATCCGAGCTGTAGCTGGATCCAGCTAAATCTGAATCCCAAATCCAGGCTGGTCCTGGATCTGATTGGTCCTGGGTCCAGCTGATCCTAGATCCGGGCTGTCCCTGGATCTGGCGGATCCCAGATTGGGTGTGATGCTGGATCCATGCTGGTCCTAGATCCAGCTGATCCGAAATCCAGGCAGTACCTGGATCCCGGCTGATCCCGAATCCCAGATCCATGCTGATCCCGAATCCCGGATCCAGGCTGATCCCAGATCTGGCTGATCCTGGATCTGATTGGTCCTGGATCCAACTGATCCCAGATGCAGACTGGACCTGAATCCCTTTGGTCCTGGATCCAGATGGTGCCAAATCCGGGCTGTTCCTAGGTCCAGCTGATCCCAGATTGGGCCTGATCCTGGATCCAGGCTGGTCCCGCATCCCAGCTTGATCCCAGATCCGGGATGATCCTGAACCCAGTCTGTTTTTTTTTCTTTTTTTTCCCCCCCCTGGATTGGGTCCGATCCCGGATCCCAGGTTGGTCCTGGATCCATGCCAGTACCCGGATCCAGCTGATCCCAGATCGGGCTGATCCTGAACATACCCCCACCCCCACCCCCTCCCCTGGGTGGATCCAGGCTGGATCTGGTCTGCCCAGCACCAGGTACAGACCCCCC